AAAAAAAAAACAGTCACAAAAAAAAACAAAATAGAAGAAAATATCAGAACTCAACCCCTTTACTATAACAAATGTACCAAAAAGAGACACTGTAATATTAACCAAGCAAAAGTCGGTTTAAACAGTGAGAACCTTACTAACAAGGAAATTCATTTTAAGCGATGATGGTAGTAGTTAGCTCAAGCAAATAAGGTGTAAAAAGTAACATGCAATAGTGAGAGATGAGTATTTATTGCTGAACTTGATGAAAAAAGGCCTTAAGAGTCTTAGCATGTATTTTGTATGCGTAATCCCTATGTAAATTCCACACCACTGAGAAATCTAATTATACTACTTACAACAACAACAACAACAACAACAACAACAACAACAACAATCCAGTGGAATTCCACAAGTGGGGTCTGGAGAGGGTAGTGTGTACGCAGACTTTACTCCTACCTATTAAGGTAGAGAGGCTAATTATACTACTTAATGGGAACAAATATAAAAAAACATGCAATTGATCAAAGAATGTCCCATCATCAATTTTAGACACAGTAAAATGTGAAACGATCACCTTCTCTCCTCTTCCAACTCCCTTCCAAATTTTAAAGAAAATAGCAAAAGGAAACCGTTTACTCTGACAGTGAACTTTTAAATGCTGAAAGAAACTTTTACTGTTTTATGCAAAACATCATTTATAAATGACTAGTAGACCAGTGACAGTCACGTCAATTGTGGAATTGAAGGAGCACTGCTTGTACAGACACTGTACTTTGTTTATATGCCAGGTGACAGCCCACAATTAGGGCAATCTTCTACTATGCAAGATCGGGATAAAAACCTTCTCTGTCTTAGAAAAGTAATATTTGTGATAGCTTTGATGAATTAGTGGAATATGAAGCAACCTCATCATAAAGCTACCACATGCCAATTTAGCTCTAATTTCATTCCAGTGTTACTCCTATCAGATTTTCTAAACCTATTGATTTAATTGCGAAAACACCACATCCTATAGCATGATGAGCGAGGCAAGCAAATAAATCCCTGGCTGAAACAGCTTTAAGTCTGTCAGTCATCATCCACTTTCTGTATGTAGTATCTAGTGTCAAACAACATTTACTAGCATTAGAATGTTATAGAGATAGAGCTATACCATTCGGATTTCCTTGCTCATAGAAGCTCCGAAGAAGATAGACTGCTTCAGAAGCCATTATTCCAGCAGTGCATTTGAAACCCTTTTTTGATGAGGCAAATCCACTGTTAGAAAATGAAAGCAAATAAATATCAAAGACCAGCGGGGGTTGGGGGGTTGGCAATTGTAAGTGAACAAAGAAAACAAAAAATTAAACTGATAATGGAGCATGCCGACCTCCTCTACCCACAGCTGGGAAGGCAGAGGGGTGGGATCTCCCACCAGAAAGGGCTAAAATCTTTGTTAAACCGAAATACTTGATCACGCAGCACGTCTCCCAGAAGGAGCAGGTTTCTTGTTTTCCAAAACGGTTGGCTATGTTATCCACATTCTATAATGGTATAGCAAACATACATCTTTAGATGGATGCATTCCGCATATTTCGACAGGTATGATGTAACTAGTGATGGATGAAGAAGAAAACAATTTTAGACAGATGCATTCCGCATATTTCGACGGGTAAGAATCACTGATGAAGAAAACAGCAAATGCTGAAATCAGGCCAGATCAGTGTAATAATACAAACTACCATGCATTTGAATTTTCACTTAAAGGAACTCCAGACCCTTTCTCAGCTATATTCATTCTCTCAACTTAATTTAAAGTCTCTAAAGCACATCCACAGAATGTTTTTTCTTTTTCCATCCAGAAGAGCAATTTCATGATTCTTCTTTACACACATTACCAATAAGCTGTTTGGCCAAGATTTTAGGAGGCCAAAAGTTCTTTTTTTTTTCAAAAAAAAAAGATGCCTGTTTTAGAGAGCTGAATTGTTTGCCCAAGCTCTGTGGAGAAAAATAAGTGCTTCTAACTAGAAGCATCAGCTGTTTTTATCTTCCTCTTGGTGAAAATACGCTTAGTGAAGCATTTCATATACCAAAATAACCCTACTTAATTTACCTAATAGTTACGCTTTAATTTCATAATCGTGGAATCCGGGCCAGCTTGCTCACACCTCAACTAATTCCAGGGGATAGTTGCTACCCCCCACCAGCACAGGCACCGGGTAACTCAGTCCACCAAAGCTTGGACATATGAGAAGAATTCACCTACTGTTTTCATAATAAATATTTAAAATTATGTATCTACTTAAAAAAAATTAACAATTAAGTAAATCATTTTATGTCCTTATTCGTAGTTTACTAGTCAAAAGCACATTTTGGGCCAAACACAAATTGCTGGTCAAAAGTCCTTTTCAAATTGATTAGCCAAACACAAGCTGCTTCTCTTCAAAGTACTTTTTCGAAATGCACTTTTCAAAATAAGAAGATTTTAGAAGTTTGGCCAAACATGTTATAATTCTAAATCATAACAATCTCTTTTGTGCTTACATTGCAAATGGAGAGTATATACCAACAACTATGCCTCGGAAATGCAGAGTATATATACCCCTAATGAAAATATAAAGTCTTCATTGAGGAGGTTTTGAAGAGGAAACAAAAGTATATGATGCCAGCATACACTGTCCAGAAACTATGACCAATAACTTCTTTTGATATTGAAAAGCAGCAGAACTTGCGTTCACCGAGCACCAAGGGGATACCTCTTTTTTTTTTTTTTTTTGAATGAAGAAACGGCATACCTCTGTATGTTCAAAAGCTATAGTTGAATCAATCAACAAACCAGCTACCACATATGACTTGTTCTATCTTTGGCTATCCGTTATAGCCACAGTGCTGCAATCTATGGATCAAAACACCAGTACAGTGGTGCCCTGCCTTCAGGCAAACCAGCAAACACTTGGCAAAATTTCAGCAAGTTGGGGCAGCAGAAATGAAAATTGAGGATCAAAGATGGTAAAGCAGAAAGTGAAGGATAGCTCTTGGATAAGTATATCTAACTGGGTTACTAGGCTGATCTTTAAGCCATACATCAAATTGGTATATATTGGTCACTCACAAAAGACTTTCTGTACCCTAACCTTGCCAATGGAAGTGGGCAATGGTAAATTCGTGCGAGAATCAAATTTCGACAGATCTAGGATTAAGGTAACACATGAAGATAAAATATAGAGTACTATTATGCTAATCTATATCTAAGATAAGTAACTCGTTTCAAATCCTTTCTCCCTAACTAATAGTCAAAAACGCTTCTGGCCATAAAAATCTGAAAACTTTAAAGATGTTCCCAACAAAAAAGAAAGGAAACAAAATAGAAAAAGGAAAAGGAGTTTGAGAATTCTAAGCAGACTTCCTTGAAGTAAAAATATGCACACTCAACAGAGAGGCTACTAGGAAATAATAACACAAGGCAGGTACATGACAAGAAAAAAATTCTTTTTTTTTGTTTAAAGATTTAAATAGACAACTGTAAATTCAAACTTTTTCTCATTTAACAGTAACCATCTTTCTGACGCAGAGTTCAAGAACTGGCCAACATTTTCCACTTGCAAGAAATCTCAGAAATAATCTCTCTGGATTAGGCCAAACATCTCCACAGGTTTTACATCAGCATGCAGCTCATAGGTAGAATTAGCTCGTGGTCTTGCTTCTGACCCTTAGTTCCACTAGATCTCCAAGTGGCCAAAGAAGAGTGGGGATTTTCTAGGTCACAGATATTCTAAAGTATATGACGGGGGAATAAATAATTGACCTAACAAAAGAAGCTACTATTTGTGTCTGGGTGCTTTTTCTTGAAAAGCTGAATTATGAAGAAGTAAATTCAGTGATAAATATCAGCTCGGGGTCAAACCTAGTGGGAAGCTGAGAGCAGCTGGTATGCAGTGATAGTATAGATCCACAACCTCCAAATTTATCATTTGCACATCCATAATATGCCTCTTTTATTCCTAGCAAAGGAAAACAGGTCATGCTCGAGAAAGGCGCTAACGTTTATATAAAGCAAGACTAACAGATAATGAAATGCTTCAACATACCAAGATATGATAAGGCTGCTGCACACATTATACACGGCTCACAAGTAACATACAGCATGCAGTTTGAGAATTTTTCGGAAACTTCAAGAGGTGAAAGTCCATTTTTCTGCCACTGTTCAACTAGAAAATCAATTGCTTCCATCTCCGCATGTCTTGTAGCCTGGATTCACGGAAAAGCTTAGCCAGGTTTACATTATCAGGAAATGAGTGCACTTGAATGCAGAAGGCCTTAAATGTTACTAAAAGCCAATAGATTTTAACCCTAACAAGGAAATAATCATGCAAGTATCAACTGCAATAGTCTAATATAGGAAATCAATTTCAAAAAATGCAATGGCTATATATTCTTCTTGGGCGAGATAGTAAAAGATCTGTGCATATTGATCAATGTTACAAAAATCTAAAGTAGAATAATATCAACTAAAACAAGATACAAGAGACAACAGTACAAAGCTAGCTAAATTATTGTTTTCTAGGGTGCCATAGTAAAAATATGTGCATTTCATGAAGCAAAAAAAAACAGAATATATTACCTGTGACATGATATGAGGCAAACAATGTGATAGTGTGTGTGTGTATACATAGATAAGAGGACTCAGACTGGGTTTCAATTTTTTCGGATGAACAATTTAGAAAAAGGATTTTTTTCTTTTGATATGGTAAACCTCAACTTCCCTCACAACCCCAACCGACAATGGTTTTTTGCCAAATTTCCACTTGGTGACTCGAACCAACCTCATGTTTGTGGCGGAGGATACTTTCTACTAGGCTATCCCTTTATCCTATTTTTCAGAAAAGAGTGTGTTAGTTTGATAGTTAAATAGTAGTAAATAACCCTAATCCCATATGTATTATGAGTATGACATGTATTATATATATAGGGCTCATTGTATCATTGTCAATATTAATCAATAATTTTTTTTATTCCGTGCATTCTCACATGGTATCAGAGCATTGGTGAGATAATTATCGTTGTGCGTCATTCCAACGACATCCGGGAAGAAATTAGTCGTCACCGTGCAATTTTCCGGTGACCCGAGTAGATGTTTGCATCAAAACCACTTTTTACCGGTGTTGTGCATAAACCAACACCACCACAGTGTTCTTCGTCTCCGGGCGACCAAACCCCACCAAATCCCACCGGAAAAAAATCCATCCATGCGCCGTCACGCGCCGACTGGAGTGATTTTTTCCAGGCGAGATCTGTCCACGCGCCGGCGCGTGGACCTCCTTCCAGTCAGTTTCTGACGAAACTCCTTTTGGACAGCCTTCTCAGGACATTATTCCGAGCCTACCCATCAAGTTTACATCAGATTCCGACGACCTTTTTATTTTCCGGCGAGCTACAGTATTTCTGGTGAACAGTAACAGTGAAACAGTGATTTCCGAACAATTTTCTGACCTTTTCCGGCGTGAACATTATAATGTCATTCTCATTAGAAGCCTTAGACTCACAATTCGTTGGATCGAATGCATTAAATCCAATCCAGATGGTTTCTTTACGGGATTAAATTGGGTTCCTTCAGTACAAAGCACGTAAACAGACATCTTCAGGATTAGCCTCCGTTGTTCCAACATATAGTAGCATGACTTGTGTCTCCCAATCTTCACCTTCTGAGTCTTGGGTCATTTATTCAGGTGCATCTGATCATATTTCTGGTAACAAATCTCTTTTCACTATATTTCATATTCTCAATTTCTTCCAACAGTCACAATGGTCAATGGGTCTCAAGCCATGACAACTGCAATAGGTCAAGTAAGTTCGCTTCCTTCCTTACCTTTAGACTCAGTTCTTTATATTCCTGGTAGTCCTTTTAATATCATAGCCGTTAGTCGCTTAGCCAAATCACTTAAATCTGTTGTTTTATTTCTTGATGACCTTGTTTTTATACAGGAACGCAGTACAAGGCGGATCATTGGTACCGAACGTGAATCAAATGGACTTTATTACCTTATCCTTGCAAAATTACATAGACTCGCATCTTGTCTTCATCCAATAACTTGTCCCGTTACAGATTCACCAGATTTATTACATAAACGGTTAGGACATCCCAGTTTGTCAAAATTTCAGAAAATGGTACTTGGCTTATCTCACTTGTCCACTCTAGAGTGTGAGTCGTGTCAGCTCGGTAAGCATACCCGCTCCCATTTCCCGTGACGTCTTAATAATCAAGCAGAGTCACCTTTTACTTTAGTCCATTCAGATGTTTGAGGTCCTAGTCGGGTTAGTTCTACCTTAGGATTCCGCTACTTTGTCAGTTTCATTGATGATTATTCCAGGTGCACTTGGATATTTTTGATGAAAAATCGATCTGAGTTGTTTTCTATTTTCCAGATCTTCCACGCTGAAATTCAAAATCAATTTGGGATTTCTATCCGCACATTTCGTAGTGATAATGCCCTAGAGTATTTGTCTTCCCCATTTCAGCAGTTTATGAACTCCATGGGATTATTCATCAAACATCTTGTCCGTACACATCCCAACAAAATGGGGTAGCTGAAAGAAAGAATAGACATCGTATTGAAACTGCTCGTACCCTACTCATACAATCTCTTGTTCCGCTGCGTTTTTGGGGGGGATGCAGTTCTTACATCTTGTTATCTTATTAATCGTATGTCATCTTCAGCTATCCAAAATCAAGTTCCATTCTCTGTCCTGTTTCCCCACTTACCTTTGTTCTCTCTTCCATCCCGTGTCTTTGGGAGTACATTCTTTGTTCATGACCTTACTCCAAGAAAAGATAAGTTAGCTCCTCGTTCTCTTAAGTGCATATTTCTGGGTTACTCGAAAACGCAAAAGGGATATAGATGTTATTCTCCTGACCTTCAGCGATTTCTTATGTCTGTTGATGTTACCTTCTTTGAAACCCAATCATACTTCACAGGTCCAGTTAATCACTTAGATATTTCTGAGGTGCTACCTGTTCCTTCTTTTGGAGATTCAGTCCCTATCTCCCATTCATCTTCCTCCATAGCTCCATCGCTTACAGTTCTAGTTGCAGCTCCACCACCTATAGCTCCAGTGCCACCACCTAGTCCAGTTTCACCAATTATAGCTCGAGTGCCACCACCTAGTCCAGTTCAACCTTCTACAGCTCCACCACTCCTGACTTATCGTCGTCGTCCGCCCCCAGCATCAAGCCCAGCTGATTCACGTCCTGCACCTGACCCTGCTAATACTGCGGACTTGTCTCCTCTTAATCAACCGATTGCACTACGAAAAGGTATACGGTCCACACTTAATCCTAATCCTCATTATATCGGTTTAAGTTACCATCGTCTCTCATCATCCTATTGTGCAGTTGTCATCTTTGTCCTCTGTTTCCATCCCTAAGTCTACAGGTGAAGCACCGTCTCATCCCGGATAGCGACAGGCTATGATTGACGAGATGTCTGCTTTACATACGAGTGGTACTTGGGAGCTTGTTCCTCTTCCTTCGGGTAAATCGACTGTTGGTTGTCGTTGGGTGTATGCAGTCAAAGTTGGTCCAGATGGCTAGATTGATCGACTTAAGGCTCGTCTTGTTGCCAAAGGATATACTCAGATATTTGGACTCGATTACACTGATACTTTCTCTCCCGTGGCTAAAATTGCATCAGTCTGCCTTTTTCTATCCATGGCTGTTGTTCGCCACTGGCCTCTCTATCAGTTGGACATTAAGAATGTTTTTCTTCACGGTGACCTTGAGGATGAGGTTTATATGGAGCAACCACCTGGTTTTGTTGCTCAGGGGAGTCTAGTGGCCTTGTATGTCGGTTGCGCCGGTCCCTCTATGGTCTAAAGCAGTCTCCTCGAGCCTGGTTTGGTAAGTTCAGCACAGTTATTCGGGAGTTTGGCATGACTCGTAGTGAAGCTTATCACTGTGTATTTTATCGACATTCTGCTTCAAATCTCTGGATTTATTTGGTCGTTTATGTTGACGATATTGTTATTACCGGCAATGATCAGGATGGTATTAGTAAGTTGAAGCAACATCTCTTTCAGAACTTTTAGACTAAGGATCTGGGCAGATTAAAGTATTTTCTGGGTATTGAGGTCGCTCAGTCTAGCTCAGGTATTGTAATCTCACAACGGAAGTATGCCTTAAATATTCTTGAGGAGACAGGAATGACAGGTTGTAGACCTGTTGACACTCCGATGGATCCGAATGCTAAACTTCTGCCAGGATAGGGGGAGCCTCTTAGCGATCCTGCAAGATATAGGTGGTTGGTTGGTAAATTAAATTACCTCACAGTGACTAGACCTGACATTTCCTTTCCTGTGAGTGTTGTGAGTCAGTTTATGGATTCTCCCTATGATAGTCATTGGGATGCAGTTGTCCGCATTCTTCGGTATATAAAATCAGCTCCAAGCAAAGGCTTATTGTTTGAGGATCGAGGCCATGAGCAGATCGTTGGATACTCAGATGCTGATTGGGCAGGATCACCTTCTGATAGACGTTCTACGTCTGGATATTGTGTCTTAGTAGGAGGAAATTTGGTGTCTTGGAAGAGCAAGAAACAGAATGTGGTTGCTCGGTCTAGTGCAGAAGCAGAATATCGAGCAATGGCTATAGCCACATGTGAGCTAATTTGGATCAAACAGTTGCTCAAGGAGTTGAAATTTGGTGAGATTAGTCAGATAGGACTTGTGTGTGATAATCAAGCTGCTCTTCATATTGCATCAAATCCAGTGTTCCATGAGAGAATTAAACACGTCGAGATTGACTGTCACTTTGTTAGAGAAAAGATACTCTCAGGAGATATTGCTACAAAATTTGTGAAGTCGAATGATCAGCTTGCTGATATTTTCACCAAGTCCCTCACTGGTCCTCGTATTAATTATATATGTAACAAGGTCGGTACATATGATTTATATGCACCAGCTTGAGGGGGAGTGTTAGTTTGATAGTTAAATAATAGTAAATAACTTTAATCACATGTATTAGGAGTAGGACATGTATTATATATAGGGCTCATTGTATCATTGTCAATATTAATCAATAATATATTTTCTCCCGTGCATTCTCACAGAGTGTTTGCAGAAAGTCATTTTTTCTCTAGCCTTCTGGTGAAAACAAAATGACTTAGCTTTAGGAAAAACATTGAAACGCTTAAGAGGCTAAATATAAAATTTTGTATAGTTGCTCAGTACCACGGAGGGTGAGATATCACTACTGCAACACAAACTCTTGAGTACAGCACATCTTTTTCTTTGATAAGTTCATTAGAGCATACATGTGGACAACATAGGCATAAAAGATTTCTTGAATACAAATGAATAGAAGTATCCAAGATAAATTATCTATAGCATAGATATTGACATCAGGTTAGCACCTAACAATCTAACAAAATGGAAGATGCCTAATAAGATCTTACTAAGAAAAAATAAGAGCTGAAAACTTACATTTCTTGTTTCATTTGTTCGATTTCTTCCTGAGGCAACAACTTCCCCATCCTCAACAATAACGCAACTGGACTGAGAAAAATACATAATCAAATATGCGAACTGACCAAAGCACAACTAAAGAAAAGACAAGGACATAGGGAACTGCATCAAAAGGGATTCATGATGAAGTTACAGTCCAGATAAATTTTATTCCACCCAAATTCTGTTACGCCTTGTGGGCATAATGTTTGTAACATGACTGTTACACAACTTACATACTATTCAACTCTTCATTAAGGTCTGACAGAGGTTTCAATGAGAGCAGTTTTGAATTGACTTAGCAAAAATGTTCATCTACCATACAAATGGGAAATTTTAGTGTGTATCCACAATCATCAACAAAGTAACACTCAAGGAGGCATAGTTTCTTATGTCAACATGGGCCTAATTGAGGAAGAAATACCACCAAGACACCAATACGTAAAAAAGAAGGTTCTGTGGATGCACTTCCCCGAGAGCTAAAATAGATTATGCTAAGAACTTATTTCCGAAGAACACAAATAACTTCAACAAGAATCTCACCCCACCGGAACTTCAAGATTGGCCAATGCATCCTTTGCCTGGCAGAAGAAAAAAGTATTAGGAATATGGCCAGAATTGCAATAAAAAAGCAAAAATAAAAGGAAACTAGTATCCTAAGTCCTAACTAGGCTCTATATATGGTGACAAAAGAAGGAAGAAAGAGCACACTGTGCCCAGATTGCACAGATAAGCAGTACCGAGTCAGAGTTTTGAACTACAAAGTCCTACCCGATCATTTTACCGCTAACTTTTCATCATGACCCCAGCCAAAAGACTTTTATCTCAATTTTATACCCATCATTTTGTGGAGGAGACTTGCTTAAAGATTGTGTTAGAGAAACAAACTGGAAAAAAAGTAGTAGAAAACAACTACAAATGACTTTATCAACTCCCTCAAGAATAATATAAATCTGACCTCATAATTTGAAGAGCTGGGGAGCCAATATGTAAAGGAGCCTAACAATAATAACTCTTTGTTATGATAAAAATCAAAATATGGTGGATGTCTACTCTTCCTCCATGATCTTTCTCTCAA